TGAAAGGTTGATAAATAAGCTAAAATATAAGGTATTTCCATCAAATTTGTTTGCACTCTTGTCATATTATGAGCCGTGTTTTAGTATTTTGGGGTGAGAATTAGGACACAATGCGCTACATACATTTCATGCACAAATAGGTATAGTGTTAGTCCCTTAACTGTGGTAATGTCATTAGAATGGAGGTGTGTTAAATAATTGGCATATTCTCAACAACAGAATGAGTAGTAGGTGAGGGGAAAATTGGGCATTGTTTTGAGGATTTTGTGAGGAGGAGGAGAAGGAGTGAGTTAAGAAGCGAGTTGTGAGGAGGGAGTTTGTGATGAGGAGGAGCGAGTTGTGGATCTGTGAGGAGGAGGAGGATTAAGTTGAGGAGGGAGTTTGTGAATCAAGTTGTGGATCTGTGTGGATCAAGTTGTGGATCAAGTTCTATTTATAGATAGAATAAACGCTGAAAAGATGGGAAAAAAGACGGCGGCGGCGGTGGCGGTGTCTGCGCATGTCAGAGGAGTTCCATGTTGCGCGCGAGCGTGTTCTCCTACTCCTCGCCGTCGAGGAACATCTGCGTTCTTGTTAGCAATTTATTTGTAATGATCTCATCATTGTCCATTTAATAATGTTGATTTCCTGGTTCTGCTCTGTATATCTGTCGATCGTATACGTATCCGGTTTTCTTTCTCAATAGACATGACTGAGCAAATAAAATGTGCATGGTTCAAAAACTTTCCATTGAGACAGGCTTACTTTTCATGTTTAATTCCTTGTTTTCCATTGTTGATATCGATCCCACGTGTTCGAGGTTTGTATAGTCTTTATTATCTATGTGCTTCATAAACTGCCTTGGTTGTTGCAGCGCAGCGTTGTGATGACGAGGCTCAGGCTTGATTCTGTGCCAGTTCGCACCCGTGTAGCAGGAATCCCAGCATTACATTACATTGCTCTGGTTATCAATGTCAGATTATTCCTGTTGACACCTGCAGGTCTTACGACGCGATCAGTACGGGAATTGAGTGGCCCACGCTTTGCACCTTTGCACCCACTTTTACGTTTGGGCAATCGAAGGGCTTTTAAATTATCATAACAAGGCTTGTCGATGAAGCATTTAGTGCGAAGTGACAATAATTGTGCAACAAAAGCATGAACTTTAATGAAGATTTTTTTCCAAATCGCAAAAGGCGCCATTTTGTTATTATTTAGAATCCCACCCTCCCCTCCCCTACTTAAAAGTAATAAAGCGAAAACTGAAGTTGAGAAACGGATGCACGACGGTGTACGCATACGTTTTTCCTGTCGAACGCCAATGTGGTTTCTCATACGTCCGCAAAAGGCGAACACTTTACTTAACTATATAGCTTGGGTTGTTGTCTTTTGGGGGTGGGGTCGCAAATTCGTTCTTGCACGAAATAACACAAAACGCCCAGATTTAAACGATAGTTGTGTTATACAATGCTCTTTCCGATAAACATCATTCGAGAAGCATTGCTCAATCGGGCACTGTCCATGCCGTAGTGTCCCTTTAAAAACCAACGTTTTTGTTATGGCTATAATGACGCTTTTTAAACCACTGAATCCATTCCTTATTGTACGCGCATCTGTAGACTTAAAGATATAGAGCCTAACCGATAAATTAGCCTTCATGGATAAAGCGCCATCTGATCGGACGAGTGTAATGTATACAGAAGAATGTCACAGGTGCAAGTGTACTAGCATTCGCTCTGGCTGACGCCAAAACCTTCCATTTCTACGATCACCGCGCACAGATATATATTTTACTTGGATGATTCTGGTGGCAGTGTAGAATAGTGCCATTGGTATTGTATCGAATAACAAAAGGAATATAGGTGCACGGAGATAATTAATTGCGTATCATCATGGAACGACGACCAATTTCCGTACATACTTATGGATTATTAGCTATCTTGGACCTTCGATTTATCAAACACTATGCCTCACACCACGGCCTACGGTGGCCCCTTTCGAGAAATATCGATCGTTTTATAGAACCGCACGGAGTGATCAATAATTACTTCCGGTCGCTTAAAGTCCTATTGTCCGACAGATTACACACTCGCCACACGAGAGCGCACGTGCGTCAACAGTCCATTGTCCGAAAAGATTATCTGGGATTGCTGCTCACTTCCGGCCACCTACGTGTACGTCAACAGTCTATTGATCCGAGAGGATTAACTACTGCGGCCACAGGTGGCCGTGTTAGGGTTGCGTAACCGCATGTAATGTACGTGTAGATACATAACTACATGTATACTGTATTGTTAGGGCTAAGGTCAAATTGTACTATAACTTTTTATATTTTCCCCCATACATATATGCAATCTTTAACATAGAACAGGTCAAACTTTACCCAATTCCTTACCCTCATCAATTCCTTATTTATCCCATCCATACAAAAGGTCAAACTGTGCCAGAATTTCCTAACCCCATTAATTCATATTTATATCTGTATCTACATATTTACATATTTATGTGACCTTTACATATTTCTATGCCAAAGGTCAAAGTGTTCCAGGGAGTCTACCTCCACTACTTGCTGCTGCTGCTATAGTTGACATATTCGTACACGGCGTCATCGTCCTGTGTCCCCTGAGGGACGAAGTCGTAGACAGTGTCGTCCGGGACGACACTAAGACCGTGTTCCACTCTCCCATCCATTTGTGGTACGTCTGCGTAAGTGACCAATCCGCAAGAAGTGTCCAACTGAACTGTGACCCGGGAGTTTTGCGATTTCCGCCCTTGCTTCAAACTCACTGCGGTAGTTTCCCCCTTGGCCCCATGCACCAATTCCGTGACTGTGTTAGGGATTAAAGAAGCAGCACCGGTCGTCGGATCGTCGCTCCTATCTTCAGAGATTCCTGCATTTGTGTTCTCACTCTCGAGTTCTCGGTGCCTCTTCCGTTTCAGGATGCACATCACCAGAACACAGCTGACAATCATAAAGAAAGGGGTGAGTAGTGCCGCTGCAATTATGCCAGCGTTGGAATGTGGGACGTTTGAAGTCTCTGCATCTACAGTAACAGCTGTTGGAACTCGACCAGGGGCGGTTGGGGTATTTAGAAAGATGGGACCGATAGAGCAACTCCTATTCTGTCCTGGAAATGCAGAACTAGTCACCGTGCATACCAAGACTTGATTCTGCAGGTGCTGCCCGAGCTTAACGACACTCCTCACGCGTTCGTTCTGCGGTAGTTCTGTGCTGTTGACGCTACCTGTGCCTTCCTTGTCAGAATGGTCCACTCTCCAAGTGATGGTCACCTCAGGTTTGCCGATCGCAGTGTCGCACCACACGGCGATGCTTTCGGTCGAAATCCGATCGCTTTCATTCGTGGCACAGATTGGGTTTTCTGCCGGAAAGTACTGCACCGATACGAAGATGTATCCAAACAAAATAGCACCTCCCCACTCAGCCCGACAAGTGTACCTTCCAGCATCCGATTCGGTGATGTCGGTTATTTGCAAAGAATATGCATTGTGCTCGCCAAACGAGCGAGTTCCAATGGAAACTCGGGGATCATTTGTCTGAAGGATGGAATTCTGGGTGAGCCAATTAGTGTCTTCGGATCCATTTGACTTACCCCACCAAACTCGATATAAAGCTTTGCCTGAGGCAGAGCAGTTAATAGACAGTGTCTTGCCTTCTGTGATATTAATGAACTCGCTGGCTGGACTAGCTGAGCCTTTAGTCAGAAACAGAGGAGTCACTCCTCGAGGAATGCAACTCAGCAAAACCACACTCATCAGAAGGAAGTACACGTACCTCCAAGACGCTGGCTGAAATTGCACCTGTTGTTGCTTGAGTAGCATCATGATGTGTCGTATAGTTCGCTGCACGCTCGTGACTAAGATTATCTGCTGTGGCGGGAATGATTAACACTATACACTGTAATACACATGTATACCTATTCGAAGTTGATATCAAATCACCCAATTATTTATAATTGCCTCTTTATAACTTGTGACTTGCAGCTGGCAAGTTGCGATAGTGTCACAGGTTTTCCTTTTGCCACTTAGTCATGTAATGTAAAAAAGAAACTTGTGCACGCGAATGAAAAACAAAAAGTGTCATAACAGAACGATGCATGTCAGCATTTCTTTCGTTTTGTTTCCTTATTTAATTGATTATATTTATTTAACTACAGGCTTCTTTGTAAACACTTTTTCAGTGTTGGATTTCATATTCGATTGATGGCGACGTTTTTAATAATAAATGCAAATTCAGGGCGTATATGTATATATTGTGTTAATCTCAGTCTGTCCTTTACGGTCTTACTTCCCCCCCCCCCTGCCCCGGTCAAAGAAATGGGTAAATAGCCTCTTATACAGGGTGACCAAAAATGCAACTCTGAAACAATTGCCATTTTTTTTCAAAAATGCAATCTTTAATGTTCTTATGTTTTACATATCGGCTTAAAACTGAGAGGTTTTTAGTTCAAATACTGAAAACACAAGATGTGTGATAACAGAACAATGCATTTCTTTCGTTTTGTATCCTGATTTTTTTTATTCTATTTATTTAATTATAGGCTGCTTTGTGAACACACACTTTCAGTGTTGAATTTCATATTTGATTGATGGCGACGTTTTTAAAGTAAATTTAGCGCGTACATGAATATTTTATGTTAAACTCAGTCGGTCCTTTACGGTCCCCGGTCAAAAAATGGGTAAATAGCTTCCTATACAGGGTGAACCCCCCCCCCCCCCCCGGAACTCTGATACATTTGTGGGTTTTTTTTCTTCAAAAACGCTAACTGCGTGTTTTAAGTTTTGATTATCATATAAAGCTAAGGTTTTTTCTCTCAAATACATGTTCTGAAAAAAAATTATGAAAACAGCACATTGGGTTGCTGAGAAAATGCCAATTATGTAAAAGAAGTGATTTCGACTCCTTTCCAATGGTGCTTCAAACAGTTAAACATGATACTGTTCGCCCATTATGCAATTTTCTTTAATTTGTGCAATTTCTTTAATGAATTGAGATATTTATGATGGCTGAAAGGTTGACAATTGAGCTACAATATGAGGTATTTCCATGAAATTCGTTATTATGCACAAATAGGTACAGTGTAAATCCCTTAACTGTGGTTATGCCATTGGAATGGACCAACAAAGAGGTGTGTTTAAAAAAAATGGCATACTCTCAACAACAGGATGTGTTGTTTTCAAGATATTTTTGAGTATTTGAAACACAAATTTATCTTTAATTTGATATCCAAAACATAACAATTCAGATATCACGTTTTTGAGGAAGACACTGTTCAGTTTATTTAGCGTTTTTCCGTTTTAATTTAATGTGAATGCAGAATGTTCCTCATTGAAAATATCTTTTCAGATTCTGTGCCAATTCGCGCCCGTGTAGCAGGAAATCCCACCATTATATTTAGAATACCAAACTGGTTTGTTAGACCTTCTCATTCAATTTTCCCTACGAAACTCCCTGTGGCATGTATGTTGAGACAGAGCAATGCAGAATTAATCTCTACGTAAACCTTACCACTAAAAAACCTAGTATCGGATTGAACCAAGCCGATCCTGCACAAGCCAAGCTGAACGGAGCCCAAGCCCAGCCCAGCCACGACGAGAATTGCCAAGCCTAGCCATACTAGATCAGCCCAGCCCAACCCCACCAAGCCCAGCCAAACCAAGCCAAGCCCAGCCCAACCCAGCCCAGCCCAACCCAACCAAACCAAGCCCAACCCACTGCCCATCCCAATCCAACCCAACCAAACCCAGCCAATCGAAGTCCAGGCAGCCCAGCCCATCCCATCCCATCAAGCCACACCCAACCCACATCCAACCAAGCCAACGACCAGCACAGCCCAGCAACAAGTCCAGCCCAACCCAACCCAAGACTCAATCATTAAACCCTGCTCTGACCCATCAAGCTGAAACTACAGGCTTTCATAAAACCAAAGAAGCCGGGTTAGGAAATTAAAAGGGATGGCCATACTTAAAACAATATTGTCTTTTCAATGTACTACTACATCTAATTATGTCCATGTACAAATCAACAAAACACAAAAACCAATGAGATCCAAATAATTACACTTTTTTCAAGAAAAAAATATTTTTAGTCGGCAATCAGCGAATCTGCGAAACCACATGATTATTGGCTAAACATGAAGAAATGTTATTTTTTGATTAAACTCTTTTAAGTAAGGTAATAAGTTGACGAAATCGGTGCAACAAAAGCATGAACATTAATGAAGATTTTTTTTCCAAATCGCAAAAGACGCCATTTTGTCATTAATTAGAATCCCACCCTCCCCCTCCCCTATTTAAAAGTAATAAAGCGAAAACTCTAGTTGAGAAACAGAATGTAATACTAGTTTTATTCTGTACAGTTTCATAATCGTGAAGTTTCTCACATTGTTCAAATAGCGTGCTTTGGAAAAAACTCTTCAAATCATTAAAATACTTAGGGCTTTATGAAAGGTCTGCAAATAGACAAGAATAAGTATTTTAAGGCCCAAAAAAAAGTCTCCGGTTTCTGGTATGGAGCTTGCCCAAAAAGTGGTGCGGCGACGCGGCTTTTTTTTTTTTTTACCTGATTTTTTTTGCTTCAAATGTGTGCTGATGACTGCAAAATGGTGCCCGACTAAACTTAGTGCAAATATATGGGAGTCCAGAGAGGCCACATAAAGCTTATTCTCGACCATAACCCAATCTAAAAACACGTTAAAATTGTGCAGCAGCAGGATTTCAGTCAAATCAGTGAGTTTGGCGGTTTTGAGACATCATCTTTTATTGAAAACTTCTTTTTTTTTCATTTTGCCGACGCGCATGGCTACGGCGACGCGCACGCATACAGAAACCAGAGACTTTTTTTGTTGGCCTAAACTTTTGCTTTTTTTGATGAGACGTATACGATACATGTTTTGCTTGAATAGATAGTTTCATAATTTTATAAACTACATGCCAAACAGGGAAGAAATTTGAAAAAGAAACATGATTTTTTCGTGTATGTCCTTGCAAAGTCCACCGTTCATGCGTACATTGTACACGAACAGCTGCTACATGCTTCGACACTAATACTTTTATCTCATTCTATTGAATTGTATTGTATTGTATTCGTAATGTATTTTATTTGTATATATACATGTTTGTAGTCATTTTTTATTGTATGCAGGGCCCGAATGGAAACCAGTTTTAAACGTTTGGACAAACCGTGGGTAAAGAAATGTAATAAATAAATAAATACCTATTAAGTACATAAAACTGAACATGAATTCAGTTCGTCCTTGCCCAATCTGGCAGAATTATTCTACAACTGTTTCGAAATCCTCTTATCCCACTGGTTAAGAAAGTTACTTACCACACAGTTATATTTACAGCTCTTTTTTACTATAATATTAAATGTTAAGACGAGGAAATAATAAACAAGACAACTGGCAAGCCCCCTTTAGCTCGTCTCTTAAAACTTGGTAGAAGTATTCAAAGTAGTCATCTGAGTGATATTTGGGGGCCAAGGTGAGGCTTTAACAAATCGTATTCACAGGTGCCAGTCCGTCAGTGAGTCAGTGAGGTTTGTACCAAGAAGACTGTAGGTTGGCCCTCTGGGACCAGCACAAAGGTAATCTCATTGGTTTGATTACAAACAGAACCAATCTGACAGTCTGCAGTGCATAGTGGTTACTTTTTGACACGTCCTGTTTTATTTTATTATGACTGTGTATGAATTCAGGGTTTTTACTTTATTTTTTACATTTTCCGACATATCTCATGGAAAACTTTTTTTTAACAAAGAACCGATAGTGGCGCGGCATAGCCCCGATATGCTAAAGGATTGTGCAAATTGTGATAAAAGCATGAAACTTCGCACGTTGGTTCTTCATGCCATGAAGAAAAATTTCAGATATACAGGCATTTCATATTTGACCTCTGGTGATCTTTGAGAGGTCAATGAACTTTACACTCTATTCATAACGTTTGTTCTTCAAAACTTCACTTTCCTATGACCTAAGTCTATGTCATAAGCCTGCAACATATACATCACATAACGGGAGATAGCTTGCAGTATTGATCCAGGTCCAGAAGTCTTCATACAATGAAAATAATGATCAGATGTGGGAACATTTCATATCTGACCTCTGGTGACCTTTGAGAGGTAAATGACCTTTGTAAACCTGTTTATAGATATTTGTAAGATTTATTCTTAAAACCCCAACTTTTTCACGATTCAAGTCTAAATGAAAGACATTCATGTTATAAAGGGAATTTTCATATATAGGACATTTTATATTTAACCACAGGTGACCTTACGAGAGGTAATGACCTTTGTAAAACCAAAGCCTACCTATGGATATTAACACGATTTACACAATTGTATGACCCAAGTCCAACATTTGTGCCATGAAAAGAATGTTCAGATGCGGGGACATCATATTTGAGGTAGTGATACCCTCGAAGAGGTCAATGAACTTTGTATTTCCTTGTTGCCGTGATTTATCATATTTATTCGTCAAAACGCCATTTCTCGGTGACCCGAGCCTCAATTGTGCCAAAGAACGGTATTGCACCTATAAGTTTAATGTCATGTTATGAATTTAGACCACACAAACAATTTTGAGGTGACCTCTGACCTCGTTTCTCCTTGTTTTATTGGCAGACGCAACATGATGAGATTGCAATAGACATTTTGTGGGTCCGCCTGTAATGGAAAATGTACATGCTTCAAGCAATATTCCATCTTGTGTATTTATTACACCCTGCTTTATCAAGATGGACTGTGATAACTACGTGTTTAACCTTTTTACAAAGCCAAATGGTCACTATTAGAGAGTGATGCTTGTCCGTTGTGCCGCTTATATGCTTTCGCGTCTGCGTCTGCCCTTATTAAAGGAAAATTTAGATCACAGGTCATAGGTTGTATGATAATTCTTCAAATACACGCCTTTTGCTCTAATTAGACTTGGGTCATGAAAAAGTGTCATTTTGGAAGATTAAACATGATAAATAACGGCAATCAGAGTGTACATGCATGCAAAGTTTGTTGGCCTCGCAAAGGGCATCAGAGTTCAAATATGAAATGTGTGGATATCTGAAAATTCATATCGCGGCAAGAATACCTACAATTTAGATATGGGTAATAAAAAGTGGTGTTTTGAATAGTTACTCCTCTTAATATTATCCTTAAATAGGATACGCAATTAAAGTTCATTGACCCCTTGAAGGTCATCAGAGGTCAGATAGGAGATTCCCTACATATTAAAATATGGATTTTACTCAAGGAGTGCTTATATGTCACAAATTGAAGAATTTTATGTAAGGGATATTTGGTCCGAATTTCAGCCCAGGAAATTAATTCTGGTTCATATAGGAGCAGTTTGAAAGTAGATTTTCACACTCTAAAATGTTAGTACACGAGAACAAAGAAATGACTTCACAAGGATACAAATTCCAGTATTCAAGGGCTTGCATAAAAAGTCTATTGGTTTTTCCCCCCTCTTTCACATTAATCATCGTTTTACCATGTTTCATAAATCACAGTGACCTTGGTCAATTTTTATGTTACGCCAAACATCAATCTAACTCCATTTTGATCACATATTTAACTGTGACCTTTCGGTCAGCTTGACTTGGGTCTTATGACGGAGAAAACCATATTTCACAAGGCATATGTGGGTCATTCAATAAATTTGGGGTCCATTTTTTCCTATCTCTAATTACATCCAACACCCATGATAATAACATTCTAAAGTATTCCTTAGTGCAGTCGTTCTTCAAGAGTGATTACAAACTTACCTACCCAACAAAATTACCTACCAAATAAAAAAATCATTGAAGTCAATCTAAATGATGCTTGATGTTAAATTACAAAGTACCATGGTAACGGGGACAGGAAAACTGTCACACTTTTGACCCCAAATTTACAGCATGATCCCTGTACCAAAACTTCACATCCTATAAACTGTTACTGACCTACTTGAACACTGAAGTACACAAGTGATCTTGGAACAAAAATCGTATAAGGTACAGTCCATCATTTGCAGCTATCTAAAAAGTAACTGACGTAATTATTGTTGAAAAGGATACTTGGTTTAGAGATAGAAGTGGGACTAAACTCCCTGTGAAATTATTCTTTCCGTGTCTCAGATGCTGAATTCAGGCCAAATTCAAAACATGACTCAGCAACTTTTGATTTGAAATCGAGATCCTAGAATATTGTATTCTTGGAATATACAGCATTCACTGAGCTGAAAATTCATCAGGTTAGTTGTTCAGCACCCTTCTTTAGATTTTGAGAACTTTTGTTGCTTCAAACAAACATAATGCACAAATGACAAATGATGGACGCTACCCTTCAGTTATCTGGACTGCTAAAAATGTATGCCAGATTTTCAAATAAAACACAAACGGAAATGTGTGAAATATTCAGGGACACGTGAGTTTCTAAACATGAAAGCCAAAATGTCTGGGTATATTTTAATGCTATCTGAGTATTAAGGCACTCTTTAAAAATACATTATTTCAGTCTCAAACCTGTTATGCTGTAAATTATCTACACACTGATGATCTTAGTGACTGTCTGTGACAAGCCGGCTGCGTTGATGGCCGTCAACGTCAAGTGGTAGTCAGTGATGGGAGCCAGCGGTGAGACACGCATACCAGTCTCCATGGTCTCCACCCACTGCATGATATCACTACCTCCTGGGATGGTACCCAGAGATACCTCATAGACCAAGGAGGAGGAAGGAGAGGCAGAGAACAAGCCTTCCCAGGTAAGATTAACCCTTCCATCTCCAAGCCAGGAATGACTGAGCAGGCTTAGCGCTATAAAGACACAATCATATACGAAACCTGTGAGATGGAGGAAACTCTCAAAACGTGGATTGCTGGATTAGTGTTCAGGTGATTTGTAGTGATTAAGTATGGAACTCTCGAGGGACACAACAGAAACAATGACCATTACATATCTGGTGATTATTTGAGAAT